AATGTAATAAAACTGGTTTACACTAGCTCATAAAAACGATACCGGGCGCTGTAGTTTATTAAACACGGCTCGTGTAAGCGATAATGGATATTGGAAAGGTGGGACATTTAAATTCTTGGCGTACATGGATTTTGGCTGAAATGGGTTTACCTTAGGGAAGCTACTTACCACTGGACTTTATTCCTAATATACGTGTGTTTACGCAAGTTTCCCCAATACATAACTTGAAAGTGAGCAAGTTTATTTTTTACTCATTAATATATATATATTTACCTAGGTAAATCACCTTTTTATGCTAAATGAATATATATTTATTTACCATCAAGCGTCATTATCGACGCACAGGTTAAAATTATTGTAAACTTGGGCGGCCTGTAAGGCTAAACTGCGTTATAGCAAAGGTACTTGGAACAATCATAAGAGATCAGCTCTTAGCCCATTTGGAGAAACGTGGTTTACTGACGGTGGAACAGCGTAGATTACAACCAGAACGATCATGCCTGACAAACATACTTTTACTTAGGGAAGATTAGGTCGAAGCCAGGAATAAATACCTTTTGTTGAACATCGTTTTCATCCATCTTAGTAAAACATTCGATAAGGTCTCCTTAGTAAACTATAAAGTTCTGGATTAGACCAACGCGTATGTGAGTGGTTTAGAGACTACCTTGTGGATAGAGGGCTCGAAATATTACCAATAACAAAACTTATCATAGTGTGTAAACTATTGTTTGTCGTATATTTTAGAGTATAATTAGCTGTTTTACTTAATTTACTTTACTTCGGCTATCTCCTACGGGAGGATGAGCCGGCTTCATGAACATCTCGAATCATCACTGCCAAGGCGCGGCGATCTGATGCAAGGTTTTGCGACAGGGTTATCCAATTCTTGTTCCACAGACGGAGTCTGTAGACGGTTTATAGCCTCAGGCACTCCATATCAGCCTTGACTACCAAGCCATATTTTCAGCTGTTCACCCTTGCGACATCGCCAAGATGGTAATGGCGAGGGATTTAGAACTGATTTGACCAGATCTTCATCTGGTCGGCTCAGAACATGGCCAAACCACCGAAGGCGACGTTGTTGGGACCAGTACTGGAATTTGGTTGATGTTGAAGAGTTCATGAAGTTTCATGGGAATTCGGTACGAGTGATGTCCCCAGAATCGCTCGGCCTTTTGTTTGAGAGTGCAGCTCTAGCCTTTACACAACCAAGTGTGACCTACAATGCAGTAGGAGTGGAGTAGAGAGTCCACTATCCATTGGCAGCCGGTGACCAAAGTTCGGTTCATACGCCTTTTTAAATGGGGCCAGACATCCAGAACATCCAACAAGCCCTTTGTCCACACGTCTGCCGGGCACGCAAGACAAAGAAAGAAGACCGGACGTTGATAGGAGAGCTTTTACTGTCTCTACAACAATCCTATAAGTGGAACTCATACAAATTCTGTTGAATGATTCTAGGTCCATCTAAAAAAGCGGTTCTCGATATGATATACATCCACTTAGATATTTTGTATTGACATTGGTTTGATATGCCGACAAACACTCCTATGAGAAACTGGGACTAGTTTTAACAGCATCTTAGAGAAATATACCCTTTATAATTCAGTTTTATAACATATCTGTTTCATAAATACACTTCTTTTTAAAAATAAATGTCACTTTTCACCTAAAAGATTATAATTGGTAGATTCAAGGTCATTTGGATTTGGTGTCTATTCTCTACTGTTGCCGAGGATGGAGCATTATCATACCGAAGGAGGAAAGGCCACTTAATTTTGGCATACCTTATATTAAAGGTTGATTTAGAGACTGACTTTCATAATCTCTCCCTTTAGGGTGCATCTACAAGGTCACCACACATAGCTGCCCAAACGGAGGATGAATAAAATACGTGTGGAAGTTAAATTCTCTCACAGAGTGGTCAACGACTTGCACTGCTTACCTGGTTCAGTAGTAAAAGCTCCATCAGTGAATACTCAGAGAGAAATTAGATCTCTGCAGAGATACATACTGTAAGGATTAACACAAGGGCGTACTATCCTTATTATCTGAATCTAATTTTGTTCGATAAATTAAATCCTTTATTTAAAATGACCTCTGGTATTCTGTAGTGCTACATGATTTTCTCCAAGAACACTATGTTTACGAGACGGTACTCAAAATAATCTGTCCCTATATAATGTGTTCAAATACTTGGATGGTTTTAGTCCATCCTAGCAAAATAGTCTATTTACTCAGCTATGTTATGGATTACTCTAATGTATCCCAACCTGACGATAAAGCTTTTTTTGTATAATGAGTCAGTGTGGAAATTGAACAGATTTTTTAGCAATTCCTTAACCTCATTTTACTGTTTCAACAGCGAGTACTTTTTACAGCACTGCGCCCATTATTTCCGCCTAGACAGTTGTACATTCATTTGTACTGTTCGGCATTCTTGTAAACTTATTGCTCATCCCCAACCCAGGTTGTCTATGTAATTCTTTATCATCATTTCCAAAGTAGTTGTAAAGTTCTATAAGTCGTCATATTTGCAACTGAGAATATGACCCTATTTACTTGGATAGCTAAATTCATCTTATTACCATTGCAACCGTTAAACACTAAGAAGGAAGAGCTATGAGAAAGTGAATGGAATTAAAAGTTGACCATAGATCATGGCGCTCTAATTCAGTTCTTTAATATACGCCCCCCCCCCAACCTAAAGGCCAGTTACGCTGTCGAAATTACCCTGTATATACTTCTTTTATTAACTCCAATCAATCGATTATTCACATACTCGACCTTCCTGAGAGTTGCTAAGCACATCCAGAACAGAAGACAGTCCAGTTTAGTCATACTAACAGTAAGGCTTCTAAAAGAACACCGCATATATTTCATACTCCGTAGTTTTAGAATTGACTATGTTAATCATTTTCTCAAAATATTCTTATTATATGAATTAGTAGTAATATTGACAACCCTTTTTCCCTGATTGACTTACAGCACAGAAGTTCGTAAGGAAGTTGATTAATTCAATTTTTTACACTTTCAGATAGTAGTTAGTATAAAGAAAATACGAAGGACAAAAATAAGCTAGGATACAATAATTAGATGTATCCCACAAAATGATAACGAATGATAAACTTAGCCGATATATGCGATTCAATATATCCTACTCTGTTATTTGTAGGAGATGCATTGGTCAGACATTTCTTAAGTGGTTTCTTGTGCAGTTCGTTTCGTATTACACAACTCCCGAAAAGAATTTATATTTGTTTACAATAATCCTATGACTAGAATTAGGTTGATACCGACACAATAATTGTTTCCAAGTGATGAAAGATAGTACGGCTTGTCTCCATGTCAAAAGTTGTAGTTACATATACGAGAATGTTCGGATTTTGTACATGTGAATCTGACGCTGAGACATCTTACAAAACAGTACAATATGTACTGTATTCATATGCTCGAACTGTTTTTGTAGTATCCTACAGTTATGAAGGAATGCTTCGTACGAAGCCTTAGAATCTCACTATTAGGTTAAAGTCAAGTAAGTTGAATGTGATGTTTTTAGCAGACACCACATGGTTCCCTTACCGCATAGTTTATCTCATCAAAAACCCTAGGTAACTACGTTTTCACATGAAGAATTTTTTGTCAGAAACTGAAAAATTCAACTGCTCGTCGTAAAGTTGAGAATGACAATTATTATTTGTCAATACGTTTATCTATGCCTTGCTATAGGGTGAAGTTGAACGCACTAATGAACAAGCCGAGGACCGACCTGTTTCCCATGGGTTTTCTCTCTATAAGTCCTGGCTGTCAAATAATTATAAAACCTGGTGTCCTCGAAAATTTTGATAAGATAGATTCCTGTTCTCATTTAAATTAGGACAAACAACGAGTACTCTTCACAAAAAACCAGGCACCTAAATAGTTACCTCAGTCAGTTTAACGAAGTTTCGAGTCACTAACTTTATGTATCCTAATAAGACCCATCGTCTCTTCTTACTTTAAGCGACAGAGAACTAAAAATCGAAGAGTTCACTGTCTTATTAGTTTCGCATCCACGCTGCAACTGAATGTGCCACAGTTGAGTTATTCTCCCACGTTTCGGTGAGAAGAATCATTTCCATGACGTACTGAATTTTAAGCATCTGATTTTTAAGTAATAAGTCAGTGCAGCTCTTTAGAAAACGGATTCTTGTGTTCTCTATGGCAAGCTTGATAAAAAGCTTTCACTGTCACAAGGTTCTTGCTCTTCCTCAAATCACCGGAAATACTCATTGAGTCATGAAGAAAATAAAAGACAAATTCAGCGAAGAAAATTTTCTTTATCGACGAAATCATCTTCAGAGGCTGTATAGTCGTATTTATATTTACTAAAAATGTATAGTAGTCTATTATTGAGTAGTAGGGGGTGACATAATTGATATAATTACTCAGAAGTGGCTTTAGGAGTAAAAGAATAAAGGTTGTAAATTACGTGTCAGTGACTTTCAATGACAACCCTCCGATGGTCTTCGCACAACACGCTGTTTAATCTACATAATTGCTAAAGTGTACATATCCTTTTAACATATACGTTACATAAGTCAGTACAGTTTTTCATGCAAGCCGCAATAGTACGACGAGATTTTACTAACCTAGGAGTCTATCAAGAGTAATAGTCAAGACAGCTAAGGTGTCAACGGATATAAATGATAGGCATTAGCTGTTTTGTTCGTTGGGTCAGCATAGAGATAATAGCAGTTCTATTTGCATGAAATTCGCAGACCCAATGTGGTTTGTTTCTACCTATGCTAAATGCCTATAAATGTATAAAGAGACTGGTTTTTCGATAAGTCTATGATAGGTTGATTCCATAAAAACTACACATATCCAACAAGGCAAGTAATCCCGAAATTCAGTGTTTAGTTTTCATTTGAAAAAATTCCTTATCTGCTACGTTGATGCTTATGTAAAATTATTCAATTTTTTTCATTTAAATACATTTCCCATAGTTTTGAGCAATGTCCACAAAAGCTAGACGACGACTTATGAATGATTTCAAGAAGATCCAACTTGATCCTCCACCAGGAGTCTATGCAGTTCCACTTGATGATAATATAATGAAATGGCACGCAATTATTTTGGGCCCTGATGGCACAGCGTTTGCAGATGGCATTTTCAGATTAACTATGGAGTTTACAGAAAGTTATCCTAATGTTCCGCCGATCGTTCGATTTGTTTCCAAAATGTTCCATCCCAATGTGTATACTGATGGCAGTATATGCTTAGACATATTACAAAACATGTGGTCTCCATCGTACAACATCGGAGCTATTTTAACTTCGTTACAGTCTCTCCTGGGTGACCCAAATCCTAACTCTCCTGCCAACACAGCAGCAGCAGAACTATTTGAGGAAGACAAACGACAATATGAAACCCAGGTGCGGGCGATTGTTGAAGAGTCATGGCGGGACGATGGACCCGTGGACTAATATTCTTTTGTACTTAAATGCCTTTGATTTATACAAATGTAAATAATATTTTTCTTCACAAAACTAAGCACTTATATGCTGTGACAGTCTTTACTGTCAGATTTTGTAATAATAGCGTGGGTAGATATGTTGTGTACTATGACTAAATGCGGTCACAGACTTCATAAAAATGTAAACTCTTGTGAGTATGTTGTCACATATTACGGACTATATTTGGTCGACTCGAAAAAATAACTAGATATTAAAGTTTGATCAATAAATTCCATCGAAGTGTGCAGTGTATTGATAAAATATATATTCAGATCTAAATAATGACGAGTAAATTCGTTAATATAGGTACCAAAAGTATGTATCATTAAACAAAATATTCTCATTATATGTTCTCGTTAATAACATACCCAAGGCTACTTGATCGTTTTAAGTAAAGATTACAAGTTTAGAAGAGTGCGGACCTCAGATATTTGATCGCCCAACTAAAAGTTGTTACCACATTTATTCTACCACCCTGGTGCATGCTCACCTAGTAAATGAAATTCGTCTTATCCTTACTCGAATGCAAATGTATGTGAGGCACGTAAATAAGGACATTGGCGATTGTGAGTTGCTGACACTGGTTTTGTTGGCCTATTGGATAAAACTAATTTTAGTGAAGAGTATTCCCAGGCACATGTGACATCATAATTCTATAGTCGTAATAATAAGCACTTCAGTAATTAAGAAGGTAAGTGTGACATATCTGTTAGATCAAAAACATAAGCAATCTTAGTCCTCGAAGACTAATTTAACATATTTATCAGACGTAAATATTTTCCATGTATTGACAAAGTTTACCTAGCGCTTCAAATGCACTTGCAGAAAAAATCTGAGCCTTTAGTAGTGGGTCTAAATGACATACATTTTGCTGTTGATTTTATTTTTATGTGCACTTAGATCCATTTATATTAGATAAGTGTGAATCGCTTTACCTTTGGTCATTAAGTATAGGTGTACGTAAGCTGAACGTACATTCAGGTTGTTCATGTTGATATCAGAGACTTATTTTGGATGCCAAATATCGATTTTTTAATAAATGACCTTATCAGTCTCAATAATCATTTTTCTCTTAAGTTATCGACGTGCGAAACAAAGCTGCCGACTGATATTTTCACATTTAGCAATTAACAAGAAAGTCAGATGTTTTACCTCTTCAGACTGATCTTTGTTCATAACCATGATATAAAAAATGTGATTATAAGTTTAGTGTGCTGTTGGAAATCATACATTGTGCGAAACATCACTTAGGCGACAGTTGTACATTTGGCGAATCGACTTATTCTCACAGAACGCCAGTTAGTTTTCCTAACGAGAATATCATCGTCTACCAAAGTTTGAATAGGCAATGGCGGGTATTATTAAATATTGCCTCCAAAGCCTCAGGATGGTCGGGGGTGGGTGCCTTGCGCTGCGGGTTGGCCACCCCCTCCGCACACCTCTTGAAATGCTCCCATATGACCGGGCGTCTTACATAGCCTCTCCTGAGGAAGTCCTACTCACTGCCTTCACGTGGCGGAGGTGTTTTTCACCAAAGTGAGAGGGCGAAAGCGGATGTCCGGCGCTCTTCACCGGGTTGACTGTCCATTGGATGACAGTCTAGGGGACATGGCTAAACCCTGATTCCAAACCTCCAACGACTGGCGTATGAAGCTCAGTGGAGCTCACCGGCAGACGTATGGACAAAGGGCTTGTTGGATGTCCTGGATGTCTGGCCCCATTCAAAAAGGCGTATGAACCGAACTCCGGTCACCGACTGCCAATGGATAGTGGACTCCCTACTCCACTCCTACTGCCTTGTAGGTCACACTTGGTTGTGTAAAGGCTAGAGCTGCACTCTCAAACAAGAGGCCGAGCGATTCTGGGGACATCACTCGTACCAAATTCCCATGAAACTTCATGAACTCTCTGCATCAGATCGCCGCGCCTGGGCAGCGATGATTCGAGATGTTCATGAAGCCGGCTCATCCTCCCGTAGGAGATAGCCGAAGTAAAGTAAAGTAAGTATTATTAAATATTCAAGGTGAATAAGAGGGGCATTTCCGGAAACACGAACTAGAGATAAGCATGGTATACATCCATTAGCTAATATTATGACTCTGCAACTCTTCATTTTATGAACGGAATCAGTTATTGGATAAAATACATGAGTACAAGATACGAAACCAAAAGTTGAATGACGAGAATTGAAGATCACTAGGTACAGACAGTGCTTCACTTGCAAACAGACAGCTTCAAAAAACTAAGAATGATAAATACACTGTCGGATTTATGTAAGTGACTGCGTAAATCTATTTGGCAACTGTTTAAGCAAAGAAGTTTAGTGCTTTATGCAGCTACTATTTTGTGCAGATCGTCTTTTAACATATTTTTTGGATAACTGGTTTAGCAACTGCACAAAATCCCAGGAAGCAGAAGACTCGTAGTTTGAAACATACCAACTTTCGGATGTACGACCATCCGCAGAATTTCTTAAATAAACGAAACTAAAAGGAATTTGTGATCGTTAACTCTAAAGCGATTTTTGACCAATAATTTTATGCTCATGTCTTCAAAGTATTATAGTTGCATCCTTCCTAGATGTGGCGTTTTATCATCAGGAGCGAAAATAAATAGCCTACTATATTCTTTAGTGACAGCAGAGATTACTTTACCGACTCAGTTAATGTCGATAGACTGGAGGCCACATGTTGTATATATACATATACATATATATATGCGTCGGTAGCTGAGAGGTGGGATGCTTGCCTACCATGTATTTGGTCCGGGGTTTGATTCCCGGCCAACGCACATCTTTACCTCCCCAGCCGGTTGTAAGCCCGACAAAGATAAGGGAGGTTGGGTGTGAGACTAGCAACCCCACCCTGTAAAAAATAACACTACTGCTACTGAAACTTCACAGCTCAAACTTGAAGCCCTATGTTCCGATCGGAACGCGAAGGAATAAAATCTTGAATATATATCGGTCAACAATGGGGTTTACGATATAAAGGATGAACGGTTCTCCACAAACTGGAACAACAAGTTTCATTAGTGCATGAATCACGTGTCACTATGAGGAGATACGACAAAAAGTATTAAGTGCTTTATGATACCTACTGAATTATATTAAAGTAAGACTCAGTCAAGAATGAAAAAACGGACTCCAACACAAACCACAATATTAGTAAGCCCTATAAGTTGCACTTTATCTCTTCGTACCTATTTCCTGGTATAACAAAGACGGAAGTGAGTATGAGTCGGCGCTGTATATATTCAGTGATAGCTGATACTGTTAAAACACCCTGAAACTACTTTCCGTGGGTCTAAGTAGACCATGAATAAACAAGATCAAATGATGTAAAAGCATTTAAATCTACAAAGCACGTTAATATACACAGATGGCAGATAATAGGAAAACTGATACTATGAAGTCCAATGAAACACAGTTATGAATTGGTAAAAAAAGCTTCAACATAAACACGTAAATTCATGACAAGTTCATCTGAAAAACGTTAAGACAAGGATCACAGCACATGTAAGCTTAAAAGTTGGTTAAACCGTATGTCCCATAACCCCTTGGGTTAAGTGGATTGCCGTTGACGGGTGAGAAATAACTGACGTGCATGAGACAAAAGAGCTTCACGACGTTCATTTAGGCTTAACTGACGCGCATTAGAACTTGGTAGGAATTGTGGAGCAGCAACGTTAAGCCTACTTGGAGATAAAATACCTGCTTCACCACTAAGGCCGTTTACATTTCGTTGAGAGCCAAATTCATTTGAGTTTTCTAAAAGTGAACTAATCGCTGATTCCACGTCACCATGAGTACACACTAAATAAAAACAGAATAAACAAAATATGAACTAGTAGATAAGCCTACGGTTTTTGTTTTGATTTATTTACCACTAGACTTAAGTATTTCCAAATTAGGAAACAGATCAAGAATAATCGATTCTGATAGTACAGAAACTGATAATTTATTACATTAAAGAGATGTGCGACTATAGAATATCACTACTGTCAGAGGCAACTGAAACACTTCTAAATCATAAACAAAAATGGATGGGGAGTTATACTCACTGGCAATTTTATAAAATAACTACTAAAATTATAATGAAGTGATAATACTAGTAAGAGTTGAACCTATGTGAATGATTATAGCACTAATCTGTAGGACAAGGCTCAAACACTGAAGCCATTCTTCGAAAACTTAGTGCTCAGGTTAACAGAATACTGCTAAAGGTTACAGATGCAGAAAGAAAAATACTAGCATGCATACACTAATCACCAACAGATGCAATAGATATCATATGGTTGCTACGTTTTGCGAAAAGGACAACAAACAAATGCTATTAAAAACCCTGTCTAACTGATGTCAGTTTGTGACCAACATTGAAACCTATCAAGACTCTTCTGATCAAAACTTATTCACTTACCAAGCGCTTCACGGATACGGCACACAGGAACATCACGAAGAATCTCACTAATTCTGGGTACCAGATGTTCAAAAGCAAAATCTGAATTTTCATCGGTTTCATGATTTGATTTACCAACTGCACGGAAACGAACTCCATCACGTGAAGAGTTCGGAGACGAAAGTGTTTCACTTGACGAACCGGTAGAATGCTTTCTGGATAGAGATAAACTTCGAGGTGTTGTTGACGCACTGGACACTGCAGGAGAGCGAACGTTTGGAAGAGATGTTATCTGTGATTCTGTTCCAGAGTACTGAAAATAAAGTATATTCACAGGAAAAAATATTAACACTGATCGAATAACACTAATTACAAATGAAAATTTATAGATTCTTGTTCTGCAAGGAACAATTGTTGTGCACTATTTTCAAAATATGAAACTGTCATATTACATATCAACAACTTCAAATACACAGTTTATATTTCTTTTTTAATAGTACTACTATGAAATGTGATGGGTGGAATTTGAATTATCCCTAAAATCTACGATTCACACAAAACAAATTTTATTTTAAAAGTAATTCACGTAGAGGATTTATACGAAGGTTTCGCAGTTTAATTCACTACACTTTTTGAAATAGCGCAACACATCAAATGAGTGAAGCCAAAAAAACATTACAATAAACAAGGATATGATAGGAAGAGAAATTACCAGCCGGATACAGTTAATTATTTGTAATTTTTGTCTAACCAGACAACTCAAGTAACAAAAGACTTGGAAGTGATACAAACTGAAAACTCCTAACATTTGAGAAAGAAATTAAGTTAATTTAAGCAACGAATGGTTTATTACTACCAATCGAATGAAATAACAGGAATTCACAATAGTCCTAACACTTACATCAGCAAGATGCTCAGCGCTTATTGAACTAACAGTGGCTCCAAGTGATCTGGCGATAGCACAACGAACTCTTTCGCAGAAATCCGCATCCGCTTCATCAGGTATACGACAAACAGGTGGTAAGTATTTGATATTGTAATACGTGAAAGGTGTGAATAACTGCCATAACAACTCTGTCAATTTAGAAATAGGGTGAACAACCTAAAATAAAAAAAAGGTTGATAAATTATTATAAAGTGCAGTGAAAACAAAGAAATGTAACATCTTATTGCACTTTTTGTTTATACTATTGCTGCAGGAAAAGCATCAACACCAAACACTTTGTGTTAAAACCCCCCAATTCAATCAGCAACTTCCTCACTAAAAACTAAATGGATCGAGAAAATTCGAGATGAAAATTCAGATCTTCCAGACGAAACATACACTTGTTGTACGAGAACGAAACGACTAACTGCATGGCATTATTATAAACATGTTGACTTATATCAGTTGAAAAAATTTCTCCTGTGACTTTTTTGAAATTCATACGATAGAATTACTGGCTAGAACACAAGTAAATCCAGCTGAGTACCAAATATATTGAGAAACCTCCGTTCTGGACTTTACTGCTATACATAATATAGCAAACACTACAAAAATAATCCTGCAGTTCTGTTGGGTTTTGGTGACGATGGACCAGGGACCATATCTGAACATCTTACATCGTGCTCAGATATCAGATGTTAGGGCAATCTTGAACACACCTAACTTTTGTTTGAAGCCAATTATCTACAAAATATGCTGCTTGATTGCGTTCTTTAGGTCAGCGGTCGTACTGACAATGACACATAGATTTTAATTGGTTTGAGAAGCAAAGCGGTCACCATTAGACAACCTATTTGTTTCCATTATGAGTACATGGAAAATATAAGATCCTAAAGTGTTCATAGGATAGTTGTATCATACTAGAGCTTGTTGGCGTATCACAATCCTCATGAGGTAATAGTTTAGTAGCTGATCAACACAGTGTCATGTTAAAAAATACTGAGGATTGGGTCGATACCACACTGAATTGTACTTAAGTCTTTTATTTCTTAAATCTAGCACGAAAGTTAAAAAAATCTACTTCATGAGTGCATCACATGCAACTACTACTTATTGATTTATTTTCTATCCACCTCTTATTCATGCTATTTAATAATACTGCTGTACTAAACTACGCGATGTATTTATGAACTGTATCAAGCAGACAGAATAGTACAACCTCTATCAGTGTTGTATACAAATTTCACTTCTTACACTTTGTTACAGCGCAACGAAGAGGAATAAAAAAGTATTACATAATTTATTGATGATAGTGAACCAAGTTAAAATAACAGATAAAGTAAAGACATTCACAGCACTGACACCGTCAACGAACATCACTATAATAAATGGGGAATCATCAAAACACTTCACCGTTAGTAAAAATAGATGATAAAAATGAGCTTCACCGAAAAAAATGTAAACAGAGTACTCCGTCTAAAATCTTCAGCAGATCCATCCTGGAAAAGTAACATTTAATATCTCCAACTACGACGTTTTCTCTCATTAGACTTTGAGAACGACAACTTACCAGATTTTTCAATTTATTTTTTTCAAATCAAACTTGATATAAAATGGGCACTAAGAGATGATACACAACGACAAAATAATATAAGGTGGGGAGATAAAATAATTGATGAACGGTAGGGACATAATCATGAAGAGACTTTAAAGGAGAGCTCATTACAACAACATACTATTAGAAAGGAAACAAAGAAGGGAACTACAACATGTTCATGACTTATTTACATTCTGAGTCATATGTGATAATATCTTGAGACGCTGAGCTCCATGATATCTTTGATACTTATGCATACAGAGATGCTAATCATACACAACTACCCATCATTCCAAAGCACTATGTCATTGGCCAACCGCTCCCACACTTTTCATCCTCAAATCTGGGGGTGGCAAAAAGTGAACGGTATGAAATGTGCGCTGGCACCACCGGACGCAAGTGATTTTACGAGGACAGTGATGGTCGGGCCTGTCACACATCCTCAGCTTGGAGGCCAGATTACGCAAGCGTACAGTGAGACTGCACGCATTGTAAACTCGACTTTCAACAGTCATACAAATATCACGATAGCGTTAGAGTGGTCCAGATAGGTATGTTTCACAATAATTTCATTATTCGGTTAGAAATTTCATCCATTACATTAATTTTTGCATTCTTCTAATTACATTTAATTTGGGCGTTTAAACTAATTACAAACGTCACACAAATACGTGTCACACATTAATCATGAGAGAAATAAAATATTTTGATTTAGCCAGGACCATCGCCTTAGGTGTGAAATAGGTACATAAAATAAATCAATAACTGCATTTCTTGTGACAAGATTAATCTACATCTATACCATCTCTTTTGATTATTATTTGCAGACAATCTTTAAAATATTTCATAGTTCTAAACTTGAACCATTCACACAGCTATTCATCCATTTCAGCACCTACGCAATGAAAACCATAATGACTAAGTGATAAATAGTTCTGTAAAGATGTAATGGTTAAAATATGGCTTTATCTATTAGGGAATATCTAAAAATATGTATTCTTGAGACACAAAAGTTGTCCCGAAATGCCTACTACAACCAAACGAAAAAGATGTGCTATGCGTAATGAGGAGGTGATATGATTTAGAATATAAACTTTTTTATTAGAGAGCGTTCAAAGAATATCTTGCTGTCTCGATCTTTTTCGTCTTTTGGTTACACATAGTTCTTTTCAAATATGCCACAGCGGTGAACTTTGTTTTGTGGAATAGAGGTTCGTAGTCAACTTATATTTGCTTAATATTCAACAGTGAATTGAAAAATTATTTGTACAGCTTATCATAATGTAAATGCACAAAGTATTAGCAGGGAAAATTTTACTTACCAGCTTGATAGGGAAGATTCGATGTACCTTAATTGCTACCTGAAAACAGTATTAATAACTTGCAAAATTGTGTTACTTACAGGTTGAACTTTGTCTACATTAGCAAACATCTTGTGGTCAAACTTGAAAAGGCAATCAGTAGTACCAGTTGGCGCATTTTCAGGAAGGAGATGTACAGGTTGGTGATAATCTATGGAAGTTAGCATTAAAATAGAACTTACCTCGTACACACCGAAGAATAAATTCGGAAACAGGAATTACTTTCTCCTTACAATGAGATATGGATCTCCAGTGAAAAACATTTGTATTCGGCTGTTGATTAGCATCAAAATAATGAAAAACAGTCAGTATTGTAGTATATTTAAACAAGTGTGCAGAATTTAGTCAATTACAGGAAATCAGGAGCGAAGTGAACGTCAAGCTAAGTATAGTAAGAATGTTTAAACGAACTAACTCGGGTAAAATTCAGTGACAATTCGTGATATTCTTAAATAAATACAATGGATATTCATGACACTTATATTAAAATATATTGGTGTACATATGTAGTAAACTGGAAGCATACAGCCTGTTAATAGACTATCTAATACAGAAACATTGAATGAAACAATCCTGAGATATCTGAACATAAAACATGTCAGACAGAGTCAACTGTCAAGTAAGAGAAATAGAAATACCTCTTATATCCAACAATCCATCTTAGCCCTAACCACTTATCCATACTGTTTAGGTACATTTAAAGACAGACAATATCAGCACAAAATAAGAAACTAATACACAGTTGAACAAGTCACCCAACCCCATATTCATAAACTAAGATAAAAGTACTGAAAGAAAAAAAGTTAAGGCATGATCAAAAGTAATGGAAAGCCTCAAGAACAATGAAAAATACAACAAGTAAAAAAGTGTGGCACAACGAACAGAAGGAGCATAATATATGAATACACCTGTCACTGTGATCGATTCTAAATCATTAGCAATATTGGTTTCAAATTATGTGGAATAATTGAGGAATAATGGTTGATACTGATTTTGTGACTGTCTGTCTGTCTGGATTCAACATAGAATCGTGACTAAAGATTAATTAATGTTTCTCGGTGGATTATGCTAGATTTCTATTAACGTTTCAGGCATTTCTACACCATACCAAGAAATACAGATAGCACTAGTAACTGGTAAGTAAACTTATGTGAAATAATTTTGCGAATGTCAACGACTGAAAGTTAGCCATCGGATGACTATGGAAAATGGGATATCTGAAAAGGTGATTTTACTTAGATATAGACAACTACCTGAATATGATTATAAAATAAATTACCACTGTTGCATACTAACCAGGCTGATTTTAAAGATCTCATCTAAAATGCTTTTGTCCTAGTTTAATAAAATTGTTCGCTGTTGCGACCACATCTGAATGAACTGTTTTCTGTAGTGTGTCGAACACGTGACAGAAACTATATTCCACATAGTCCCAGTGACAATTTCTGGATCGCTAGAAAAGGGCGGTAGCAGGCTTTGCATGCTTCACAAGCTTTTAGAGTGCAACACAAAGTAAGCGGATGCCCGGCGCTCTTCAACGGGTTGACTGTCCATTGGATGACAGTCTAGGGGAGATGGCCAAACCCTGATTCCAAACCTCCAACGACTGGCGTATGAAGCTCACTGGAGCTCACCGGCAGACGTATGGACAAAGAGCTTGTTGGATGTCCTGGATGTCTGGCCCCATTCAAAAAGGCGTATGAACCGAACTCCGGTCACCGACTGCCAATGGATAGTGGACTCCCTACTCCACTCCTACTGCCTTGTAGGTCACACTTAGTTGTGTAAAGGCTAGAGCTGCACTCTCAAACAAAAGGCCGAGCGATTCTGGGGATATCACTCGTACCAAATTCCCATGAAACTTCATGAACTCTCTGAATTGGATAACCCTGTCGCGAAACTTTGCATCAGATCGCCGCGCCTGGGCAGCGATGATTCGAGATGTTCATGAAGCCGGCTCATCCTCCCGTAGGAGATAGCCGAAGTAAAGTAAAAGTAAGTAATAACACGGGCAAGAATGTTCGCTAGTTTTGTTTATTGGTACGACTGAATATTATATGTACACATTCCACTCTTTGAGAATTCGTCAACATGGCTACGTGAAATCAACTAGGTGACAAGAATTGTTTTGTACAACCATCTCCCAGACGACATACACTTGTGGCCCAATATACCGCAGTTATGGCTAATGAAGGTTATTAACTTTGAAATCGGATGTGAACATTGAGGGTTTTGAAACGTATTCCAAGGTGCACCTTCAGTTAATTAGGTGTGCTAATGTGAAAACTCAAACCGTTAGCACGGAATACGAAGCTGGAGTAAGATGGAGATAATGTAATTAATGTGGTAATGGAAGGTTGAACTATGAAAGGAAGAACAATATTTATTGTGAATGAGTTGTCAACAGACGTGTGTCAGTGATAGACTTTTATTAGTGATCTACACTGTTGGGGATTATTTTTTGAAATCTAAGAAAATAATTGAACTGTTATTAGTGGTTTTACCGACCTGAAAGCAATATCAAACAACATAAGATAAATGTGGTTGAAATAAGTTGCACATGACATTTATGAAGTTTTATTTGGATTTACATTCAAATTGTACCGCAAAATCGCGCACTGCTGTTAACACGACTACACAGAACTCAGGGATATGCATAAAGAAGCTTGCCTTGTAACCGGCAGGTTCTGGGTTCGAACCCCAGTGGGTGCGTACTGCCGATGATTCCCAAACTAGGATGAAATAACTGCCCAGTACTCCCTAGTTTTCAATGGTTCTCTAACTGATATAAGTCCGTGGTCAGACTCGTAAGAAAAAATCTAATCCTTACAAGCTAACTATTCAAAATATAATTTTGATTGAAACAGAAAAAGTAACACTGCTTGGTTACTGTCATGTGCTAAAATCTGACGGATAATATACCTTGTACAACCAGTAGTGAGGATTTGCAGTTGAAACTCGTTATTTCACTGTACATAACTAAACTGTTAAATGAGGGGAGTTCCTTACAAGGAAACATTCATTTGCATTCTGCTATAAAAGTCAGAAGAGTTGAAGCAGAAATAGAAAAAGGTTGACACACCAAATTCCATTTAAACTGTCATTTAAAGACTCATCCTTCCAGTTATTAAAAAACCGAAGATCCTGAGCACTTAAATGAATAAGTACCTACTACTATAAATACCAAACCCCTTTACACAGGACAAAAAAGTGAATGAAATTTACAAAAATCACAGTTGATGATCTTATCTATTACTCCCCGAATAAATGCATGCTAAAGCATTTAGTCACATATACACTACAGGGTTGATGTCATCTGGCAACCCAGAACTTGGTGAGTGGGATTTGAACCCTGTACCAGCAGTTTAAAGTTGAAGGTGTAATACAGTGGGGTCATAATTTAGTTGGTTCCTACTGCGGTTGAGTGCGGTGATCTTCCCTAAGCATACTTTTGGGCAAGGTTATACCGACGAAAATCAAACATAACATGAGAAACACTAATATGCTACCCAAACTCCGATATCACCAGATTATTGAATTAGAAGTATAATTAAATTAACTAGCAACTATACTTCCACATACAATTGTTACGAATAACATCGAAGGGTAGTAATGAATGTTAACATAGCAGAATAAAAACGGGAATTATGAAACTCACTGTGATGCAATCTTCCGAAAGACATAATACTAAATGGTCAAATAACGATACATGGTTGGATACGAGAGGCATGCAGGTATTGTAGTCCGTACGAAATCCATCATCGATAGATACTACAAATCCCAGCACAGTGCACATAGAGCGCAATACAAGCCTGCAAACAACAGTGAATTATTACTTAGGCACTAACCTTCGTAGAAATTCGAACTGTGATAAGACCCATGAAGCTAGGAGAGCATGCCCGAAAATCACCAGACGTAGAATCATAAGTACTAGCCCCAGGGGTGTGTAGGGTATTATAAATAATCCTTGTGGAAATAAAATTCTGACAAACTATACGAAAGATGTTCTCTACCTCATATCAATCTGGTTAGTTAACTGGAAAAAAACACGATTTCGCTGAATTTCACAAATATCTCGATTCTGGTACGATTATTGAGACACTGGTCTTCGCTCAGTTGAAATCAAGAATTAAACTTCCTAATAATCTACGCTTGTATTAGAGAAACACAATATGCGGTCTTCGCTTGAAACCTGAAAAATAAAAAAGACTAATTAGGATATTTACTGCTACTATTACTGGTACAATTGAAGCAGAAGACTTGAAGAGAACAAATATTTCATGTAACATTTGATCGTAAGCACATACTTAGTCTACTTCAGTAAGTATTTCGTGAAAAAAAATAGTCATAACTTAGGAAATTCTGGTCATAAAAATTGTATACTCATCTGCATCCACCGCCTCTGCCGTTGTGCTTTCGTAAGGTGAATTTGCTATATTCTACGTGCTTTATTAGAACTTGAGCGACTATGATCACTGAGATATGCAATCAGATGTTTCCTTCTTCCTGATCTCAATGAATAAGGAACGTTGAACATGCATTTTCACTTACAAAGATAATCAACGGTTTTTTTCCATTGTCGGTACACATATAATCCGTATACTATTTTAAAAGTAGTGAGATATTCCTAATGTTCTACAAAATAACTAAAGAAAATTACTCTTAGACACCGTTGAATGAAACCTAGATTTCTCCAGGTTTGGTGGTGAAATAAGCACAACTAATCGTGCGGGATTGGCACTTTACAGCCTTAACCATATCCCAAACCTTTTAGGCTACAAAGCTACAGTTCTTGGATTTTCAGCCAGCAAACCCGGGAAGTGCATTTAGGAACGTACACTACGCCGAAACACTAAAATTGATATGATTGAGACTTTCCCACTTATCTCATACACTATTGTATTCAGATAACCATATAAGAATGTTACAGAAAAGTTTTCGGTACGTGGGATGGTGCGAACAGTGACACTATAGAGCACCATTATTGATCCTGATTTGCAAGGTGACTTAATTTGATTAACTCTTCATGAACCAGCCACTGACAACCTCAGGACGGATACAAGAAGCTCGTTTGGGGTTTACAGACCTGAGTTAACTTCGGATCAGCAGTGATATCCAGCTACCCATTAAAAAGGGTGCGTACAATGAACAGGAATTTGCTCCATTTTCTTCCATGACCACTCCAGTTGAAAGAAAAGAAAGCACCAACGGTTGTCAACCATAGAGTCACGGACTATTGATTAAGGTCTTAAAATGACAGTCGACTCTCATGACTGAAAAGAATAAGTGATATGAAACTATTTGCAACACAACACTAAATCGCTTACGGTAGTGCAGATGAATTCACTAATACTGGAAATCTTCACGTACCCTGCAGGACTTGCTTAGACAAGTGCTGACAAAAGGTTCCAGTTTACTTCAGAAAATCTAAATCTCAGGGAGCTATTTACTATTGTGAAAGAATTTTGGCGTTCCGAGAGAAAGACAGTCTAAATATACCAGCTCTGCGTTTCATTTCAAGCCCAAATAAAAATTTCTGGGGCAATCTAGCGGCAACTGGATGCAGAATTCTTGAGGGAATCCCTCCTATTTTCCTCTAAAAATCCCGAATCTGCCCATAAAATCCTTAAATTGCCCCAAATATCTTTACCTGGGTGAGCATGAATACATATATATAGATAAACGCATGCAGTAGTCCTCGATTTTATGGAAGTTTTCATAAATTTGATTCGCATTATGTGCATAACACGAAATGGATAGAGTCCATCCAGACTATGGAAAATAGATTATCACTACATCCCTGACATTTTTCATTACTAAATAACGTGTTTTAAAAAGAACAAACCACAGAAATCCATACATACTAAATGATCAAAACAATTGGAAGTCAACTTACAATAGTCTGTCACAGCAGTGACCTAGACAAACAGTTTAGATAGTAATTGACCCCTTCACTATAACGATTATAACAAACACACTGAATTAATGAATGAAATATGATAATCTAAAAATACATCTATTTCCACAACCGAAGCGTATAAAATGTTGAGTCACCGCTTCGACCGTCGTCAGACCTGCATATAAAGTCCAGAGTAACAAACTCTGACTTCATTTAATGGTTACGTTTTACTACTACACATACTAAAAATCCTTCTGCTGACACTGCCGTCTGGGGAAGGAGATAGTAATCTTCATGTGACCTGTCATAAACCTATAAAGATTATTTCATAGGGCAATGGCAAACTTCTTTTGAAATAATTTCTATTTACTACTACCCATCACCTGAGTAGAGACCCTTCACATGCCAGATGTCAGCTGACCTCTGTTTACAGAAAATTACACGTGCAGGTGGTATCCCCTTTTTTACACTGTAGTTGTTTAGATTAAGATAAAAAGAGAAGTTTAAGAGATTTAAATGTAGGGTGAATTCAAGCTAATGAAATGAAATATCTCTGACGACAAAGGTTTGTGTACTTTTAATGTCACTATAAATGTAAGATAACTGTGATGCACGCAATCAATGTTACGTGAAGTTTGTACTGGCCTGTCAAATTTTGCCTACAGGAGATGCAGCAAGCCATTACCTCCTTTCAAGTGGCGAAATGCCTAAACGTCCATATTCGAGAGGCACTTGCGCTTCTTGTAAGTTAGAATTTTAACACAAAAAGTAGATAAGAAAAGTGGGCCAGCATCTACAATTATTATTCATGAAGGCTTCGTGTAGGGCATAGGCTTTCCATTTGTCGGTAGACAGAGACACCAAATGTAACGACAGAAGACAAGGGCCAGGCAATAGATCGTTTCTTGAGAAATTTGACAAATATTTATATATTTTAGTGTACATTATTATTCGTTATTATTAACCGAGAAACAGCGTCTTCTGATTGGTTGTTTTATCATTTAAAGTTCTTCCGTCACCTGCTTGTGGCCGTTTCTTTGAAGGTCATGCCGTATATCTGTGGATCGCATCCGCCCCCGCTGTTAAAAGTTACTGAGTTAGTGTTTGTTCTTGTTTTTTCTCATGACCAAGATTTGGGACGTAAACGTTGACGGAAATTGTTGTCTACCAATTTTGGTTAGCAGACAGCTCTCACCACAAATGTATATATTCAGTGGTGGTAGGTGTCAACTAAGTAATGCATTTAAAGAATATGTATACTTCCCATGATCACAGCGACACTTTGTGGAATATATCAAAATCGTAGGATAATCGAACTCCACACGAAATACAATTATTTATATCCACGCGGCTAACGACCTGTAGTACATATCTAGATATACATCCATATGTTGATCATGCTTCTTCTAACTGCACTGAACTAAATGAGAACAGTAGTCACTTTATTATGTCTGCGCCTGCTTCCGATTTACTGAGCCACGCAAATATCAAAAAACAAAGTCTGGCCTGTGACTTCAAGATGCTGTATTACACCGTTTATTGTATTAAGAATTGCTGGGAAAACAACAAGTGGTATTTATACATTTTTATAATTATAAAGATGGCTAACAGCGTTTGAAATGATTGATCGTGTAATCAATCACAATATGCGCGAGAAATGATATACTCTTTTATGCGGGATCCTCTCAGTGCTGACAAATCCAAATCGCTAACTATAAAGCTGCAATTAATCAGAATGTAGCGAAACTATTTATTCAGACATCTATAAAAAACAAAATAACTGAGCAAATAATATACTTTTCGATAATTTCCCCCTCTGGCTCTACAATTATATATGTTTATATACAAAGAATATTCTATAATTGTGGTCGATAACAATATTAGTGTTTTTTAAAGGGTATCGATTTGTTAGGTAAGATAAATGGAATTACAGTTTATTAAAGATGCATAAATTATAATAAACACAAAAGTGTAATAGCGAATAGAATATCAACTAAAATTAAGGAAATTTCTACAGAAGGTTGAGGACCAATCGAACCTAGACGGCCAAGGTAAGGACAATGTCTGAACCAGCTTCTTTTGGACGAAAAATTAGGCCTCTTAATGTGGGTCCCAACGGCCTAAGCAATATTTGGTAAGCGAACTCTTAAGGCGACGGTAAGATTTGATGGCATGCGGTAGCTGACTTTGAAAACCGCCTAATTTGATGGTAGTATTCTGCTCCTGTATGCTTTATTCGTCATTTTGCATGGATTAGTTGTCGGGCATTCTGGTTCCTGACTGAAATGAGTTAAAAAATCCAGCGGTTGCTGATTATGGTGATTTATTAATACTTCTTTATATTTTGAGCCGAAAACTAACTGCTGTGGTGAGCCTCTTGCAGATGATATTGCTGAAAGCACTATTTTCGGTAGACTAACTGACGTTTTACTAGCCATTTTTGTACTTTTGTGAATAACCCACCGTGTCGACTGTATGTAACGCAACCTTCGGTTGTTATGCTTGTTCACCACAAATTCAAACAATAATGGTGCCTAAGATTATATCTTGCAGATTGTTTTAACCTGCGTAAAGTGTGCTTACTGACATTGCTCCATTACCTTTCCTTGTATATATATATATCCTGAGTAAATGAAAAATTGTAAATATGCTTACTCCATATATATATTACTTATCATATTGGTGACGCTTGTAACCTGGTATCCCTCATGTACATAAAGCGAAAATATAGTATTATTATTTCACCTTGGAGCAGAAGCTTCAGTCAGAGCAATCTTGGCAGCATATATTTGGCCAAGCTTGCAACGCTAATTGTGGAGTTGAGCAAGAGAGAGCAAAGCGTTCCAGAGGGCGGAAGTAAACACACAAATAATGTCACTCTTAGGAATATTCTTGTAGCAGGATACTCAATGTTCAAGTGGACTTGTTAGTTCCCCTGTAACACTCGAACGGATTCACTTATTCACCTACATCTATGGGCTCATCAGATTTCCGGTGGCTGCACTACCTACTGATATTACTTCGGATATAGTAGTGAGAGCCTTTCTTCAACACTGGGTAGCCATGTTCGGAGTGCCTGTGACAATAACAAGTGATAGAGGAGTTCTATTTGAGTCTAA